TTATTTATTGCGAGCTTTGCTGACTAAATAATAAACGGGACAGCTGTTCTTGATTCGTGCGATTGTATTTCTTTTGCCTTGCTACATTATGATCTGGGCCATCAGTATCTTGCAACGCAGGAGGCAAAGACAGGTATTATAATTTTGCAATTTGCTTAGTCGATTAGTTGTCGCATATACGAGTTCTTATTGAGCTGTCTTTTCTAAGGGCGTGTATATCAAAAAACTCAAATCCATATTCAATTCACACTCAAAATTTAATTCAATTGTAACCCAACTCTACTATTCTCAATATTATCAATATAATTAAATAATATCAACCGATCATTCTTACACATCATATCAATTTTGATTTACTATTTATCCACTCACATAATTTTAACACATTATCTCTCTCCTACTTTTACATAAAATCAACTTTAATTATTTTATTTTAGATATTATTTTAATATAAAATTGAAATCCCACTAACTATTTCACATTTTTCAATATCAACTCTGGTTAACAAAAAAAACTCATTTTGAGCTGATATATTTGTATACAAACACGCCCTAAAGGGAGTGTCTTGTACAGAACATGCTCTTTAAAGAAGTAATTGTCAAGTTTTTGGCTAATAAAACTTAGCAAAATATTATTAATTTGCCTAAAAAACAGGAGGCTGCAGCATTAGCCGCAACACAATTTGCAATTGTCGTCCAATCGGCTCAAAGCAGGGGCCTACTAGTCGCCTCGACGGCCCCACCTCCGGCGGCCACCACTCCACAGGTGGCGGCGGCGGCACCTCTGCAGGCAGCCGAGCACGTTTGATAACAAGATGCGGCTTTTTTCTTTTAATTGGCGTATTTAAATTTTATTTTCAAACATGAGATTTCGTTGTGTATATTATCAATTTCGAAGATCTTTTAGGTTTTTGTTGCTCTGTGATTTCGAAGATCTAACAGGGAAAGAAAGAACAATGTATTAATGAAGTGTATGTACTATCAATTTGATTTACTGTTGCTTGATTACAAAATAAGTTGAATGATATATAACATTTTGCACCGTCTCTGATCATATGTTTTCTTTTCACTCCTTACTTCATTTCTTTTGTCTTTTAAAAAACAAAGAACAAAATTTTTCACTATTTTGTTCTTTCTGAAAAGGGAACGACTGTTTGGTTAGTCTTCTACGCTTCGGGTGAGTTCGGTTGTTTCTTGACTTTGTATCGAAGATTAAGTCAATTATATTACATTATTTGGTTGGATATTTTGATTTTGCTTGTATATTATGATAAATGGATATTGAGATAATTAAAATCGTACTTTGTGGCATGTTCGATGATAGTGCCGAAGATCGTGTATCGTGAATTGAAATTGCCATAACTTGCGCTAACGGTCGTCGGTTATGCATGGTGAATTTGTGTTCGAACGAAAGCGATTTTTGAGGTTTAATATTGATTGATCGTCCTAACGATGAATACCAAGTTTTAAAGAAGAAAAATACCTGAAATTGCAATCAGGCACTAACGAATAATTAATTAACAAAAGCATAGTTAATAAATATCAATATTGACTATTTGGTCCCTGCCGCAAATAAGTCGTGCCTATATCTTATGGATATACGCTGATGTTCAGAATTTCATCCGCATGCCCGCCAATCTCCTCCGCAAGCCAGCAAGCCTGTTGCGTGCCCATTTGATAAGTCTATTATTTGAGCTTAATTATTGAATTTAATTGATTTTTATATTTTTTGTAGGATATCTCGAAATTTGAAATTTTATGATGATTGGAGGGCAAAAAGAGACGAATTTGAGTTAAGATGTGGACATACTAATTTCCTACGAGAGTTGGAAGAATGAAGGAGTCTTGAGTTAGAAAGAGAAATAAAAGACTTTATGGAGTATTTATTTATTTATGGACTAATTTATTTTATTAGGATATTTTGGAAAAAGAATTTTATTTTTTTACGTACTTTCTCCTAAGATTATGATTAGACTGGTTTAATTAAAAACCAGACGGTAGATTTTAGATCTATCTTATCTTTTATTTTTTACTCCTCCCCATCGACGCACGCCCCTCTCTTATTTTCTTCTCTTTTCTTCTTTTCTTTTATTTTTCATGAATAATTGGAAGAAGACTTCCATGTTTATGGATAATTAGTTTATTTTTTCAGCCAAATGATTATCTTAGACTTGATTCTTAATGATTTGTGAGATCTATATTCTCTTTTATTTATATATCTCTTGTGATTATTATCAATTGTGTTTTGATTGTTGATGCAAATTGGCCTTTTGTTCGATTGTTGAAACGCATATCGTTATTTAGGACGGTTAAATCCGTAATTGTTTGATCGTTCTAATAGCATAGTTGATCACTAAGGGTTTTCGATTGTATGCTTAGAGAGATATATGATCTAGTCTAAATGATCCTACATGTGCGTTTGTTGGCTAGAATTGGTGGTCCTTCTAGATTTTAATGTTGTTAATAGATAAAATCCTATGATCGTATCTAGGGTTGTCTGTTGATTAGAGGAATAGTTAGAGATCGTATCCTAATTATCAAAAAAGTAAGGAAGGATAGGTTGTTAGGTCGTACCAATAACCATAACCAGTTTAATCGAGAATAGGAGATTTATCTTTGCATCCGTGATCGAATCGTTGAATCATTTCTACGAGTTTTTCCTTTAGTTGGATATCTTCTCTATTTTTAATCACTCATTTTGTTTTTGTCTCTAGTTAGATTTTATTTTATTTTATTTTTTAGTTAGATAAAATTATCAAAATCCCCATCATTTTTATTTTTACTTTTATTTCACGAATAGTTGCATCGATACTCTGTCTAGCCAATCCCTGTGGATACGACCCTGCTTACCACTACTACAATTATTTTAAAAGCAGGAATTTATTATTGCTGGATTCGACACCCATCACCATTCGCGGCTGTGCGGTTGTTGCACACGCATGTGGCTGTTGTTCGGTTGCCCGGTTGTGTGTCGCGCTTGACTGCCTCCCTTGCGTCCCTGTCGTCTCCTTGATATGAGCATGTCGAGCTCGGTTATAAGCATTTTTGAGGAGTTGCCCCTCGTTCGCATCATTCTCATCCCATTCAAGTATATCCTTGTCCTCAAGGATAAAGTTCGGAAATTGATCGCCGCTGTCTCGTAGGTTCTCTTAGGTAGCTTCTTCCTCCGGTAGATCCTCCCACTCAATTACAACCTCCAAATGAAAACGCCCTAGTCGTTTCACTCTTCGATAATCAATTGCCCGTACTGGGCGCACAATAAGAGTGCCCTCTGGACTCACCGCCGGTAATATTGTATGGGTCCCGTGGTGATCACCCAAGTTTTTCTTCAACTGTGAAACATAGATGACTGGGTGGATTTGAGAGTCCGTAGGTAATTCGAGCTTGTACGCCACTTCACCCACCTTTTCCTTAGACTAGACATGACCCATAAAAAAGGCTACTGAGCTTATACAAGGCCTTTTGTGAAATTTTCTATTGGCGATACAGTCGTGATTTCAAGTAAATCCAATCACCCAGAACAAATTGTTCCTCTCGTCGCCCCTTGTCATAATATTTTTCATACGATTTATAGATCCATGTAGGTTGCTTTTCAGTGTATCATTAAATCCCGCTCCATCAGCTCTCAATCAATCTCGGCCTTGGATTTGCTCAATGGATAATTGACGAGCTTGGAAGATGCCTGACCATAAACCAGCTCAAAAGAAGTGAAGCATGAAAGTTCGTATTATATCAAAATTCCGCTCACAACAAAAATCCCTCCAAGTTCTTTGGAAACAGATGGATGGACATAGCATCTGATGTATTGCTCAAGAATACGATTAGTTACCTCAGTTTGGCTATCCTCCTCAGGGTGGTACGTCGAGCTCATCGCCAATTCGGTCCCGTGCATTTTGAAAAATTCCTTCCAGAAGTTCATGACAATTCGGCTCGATACGATACGACGGACGGCAGAACCCCATGCAGCTTAACCTCCACAAACGATTTAGCTATGGACTCACCCGTGTATAGATGGGCCAGAGGAACAAAGTGCACATACTTGGTGAGATGATCCACCACCACTATTGCTCCGTTAGACACCGACTGACCCTCTATAAAGTTCATTGTGATATCCTCCCATGTACGGCCGAGCACTGATAAGCGCTAACCCGCTCGGTTTGCGCGAGTCTGACTTCACATGTTGGCAGACATCACATTTTTCTACGAATTCTCGAACCTCATTCTTCTGACCTGGCCAAGGCAAAAAGAAATCTAATTAAGATAAAGATTGAATCGAATGAAGATAAGGATGAGATCAAGACAAGGATGAACACAAAACAAATAAGGATTAAACTTCGGGCAACTGGCAGTTTCGGGCAGGCTGACCGGGAAAAATAAATCTTTGGCACCAAGGTATTCCCTCTATAAAATGAGGCTGAGGTATAATTGAAACACTATACACACTCTTCAGAATTCTCTACATTACACATTATCATCTTCTTTCCATTACTAACTTGAGCATCAGAGTGCTCACGTCGGGAACCACTCCCGACCCTTGTTTAGCAGGTAATCAACTAATCTTGGACGATCTGAGGTCTTCCTCAACTGGTTCAACCTAGATCCAGGTCCTGACACATCATAATGTAACTAAAAAGTATTATAAGAAAATATTTGTAAAAAAATTATATAAAATAATTTTTGTATAAAACAAGTAAATGCCTAGTGATAAAATCTTTAAAACAAAATTGTAAAAATAAATATGCTATAAACCACGAAAGTAGTTTTGTTTTTATTTAAATTTTATGTTTATGAATTACCATTTTTATTATCAATTATATTTCATATTTTTTCAAACGGATTAAAAATAATATAATGACTTAATTTGCGAAGTTGCAAAATATACGAGTTGTATTGGAAAATTGAAAATTTGGTGTGAAAGAATATATTTCAAGAATACACTATTGAATTTAAGAATAAGTTTTCGATTGAAAAATAATTATTATTTGATGTGACAATATTTAAGAATAAATTAATAAATTTTTATGTGGAAAATAACATTAAGATGTTGGGTAGTTTATATATATAAAAATAAAAAAAAAATAACTGAACAAAAATAAAAAGAAAAAAAATATAAAACATCGTAGCATCTCATGTCGTCTACTTTTGATGGAAGGCATGGATTAATAAGTTCCAACTTATTTTTATCCATTATTGATTTGATATGGAATTAATCAAATTAATTCGTTTGGGTTCTTGATCTCATCGATTACCATCTTTACGTTTATTTACCGGTTTCAGTCATCTAATGAAACGAAAGCGTAAATAAACCTAACATACATCTAATGCATGGTGGGATGATCATGTCCTTGCCTATTCGATCCATTCGAGCCAAAATGGATCTATGCCTATGTACGTGATAAAACAAATAATAGAACTACTTCTATTACATTTATTCTATCTACCCGTACAAGCACAGGCCTTCGAGATTAC